ATTTGCCTTTTCCATAATGAAGTCAAGGTGGAGGCCAAGTGTCTCAGTGATACCAGCTCTGATGTGGCCCAAATGAGTCATCTAATCATGCAGGGCCTATGCCTATCAGTCACACCTCTGTCTGACAAACAGATCTTCTGATACTCGGGATTATCCTCAGATTTGTGCTAGTCACCTTATGTCAAACTCTGAATCCTGTGGCCTTTAAGGCTCTGTCTCTATTTTTACTTCTCACCTGGCCTTCAGTAGTACCTATAGTACAGGAATTCCTTTTAACAGTAACAGTTTTAATTGTTTCTTGGCTAAGACCCTCTGATGTTCCTGGAGAGATGACAAGTAGTAAGTCTGTAGTGATTCAGCCAGTACTGTTACTCATACTTTATCTTCCCCAGGTCAAACTACTCATATTTGTTAATCTGCTCATTCTTTTAAACTCACCATTCTGGCAGGGAATCTGGGAGAAGGTACTGAAATTTTGTCAGGACATACATTTCTCTGTTGCCCCGTGCCACTTTTCCTCATTTTTACAGTATTCAGGGTATGATTTGTCAGTTCAACTTTAGTCAGTGTCTATTTTTTTTCTTTAATTCAAAAAAAATTGTATGGTGATGTCCAAGTTTTCCCTACTTTTTTAATAGTAAATGAGGTTAGACATTTTATATCTAGTTTTATACAAAATTCTTCTCTACCAAGAAATTTTCTAAGGCACATACCTAAATGTTAAATGAAGTCACTTTATTTTCACCATGGAAGTATGTAAGAGACCAGGATCAAAGTTCAATTCATCGTATCTGCCTCAACATAAAACAAAATATAGGGTAAAAATAAAGTCTCATTTATCAGGTCTGTACTTACCATATCAAGAAAATAAAAATATGCTCCTTAGGAACTCTGAATTTATTTCACTTTTATACTAAAATTCAACTGGAAGGTCTGTGGAAGTCCTTGAGTTTGTTTTTGGTTTTGGTAGTTGTGTTTGTTTGTGTTTCTTTGCTTGTTTGTATTTTGCAGTGCTGGGGATGGGACCCCAGGCCTTGTGCATGCTAGGCAGGCGCTCTGTTACCGAGCTACATGCCCAGGTCTTGGTTTTTTGAGACAGGATTTCAATATGTAGCCCAAACTTGCTTCAAACTTTTAATCCTCCTAGCTCAGACTACAAATTCTTGGATAAGATTTAGTTTTAATGTTAATTTCTTTGGTATATCTAGCACTATAAATTTAAAAGGAAAAAGAAGGCTATCTATTGATTCCTTGCCCATTCATTCTCCTGTGTATTCTAAGTAACTATAGTAAAATTCTACATCTTTCACCTTCAAAAATATAATTTTATATGAAGTCAAATATCCACAGCATAAAAGCTTTAAAAACAGGTACGACTCAAACTAGGTCACACTTGAAAAATGGGAAAATGGCCCTTCCTAATTCAAAAAAGGAATTGGATGGTTTCATAAGATCTCAGATATCACCCTGAGAATATATTGATTCATTATCTATCCTCAGTTAATAATACTTCATTCCTTCTACAGATAGTAAAATATTTCGTTAGCATCTACCAAGAAAATTCAAACTGTCACATCATAAACCTATTAAAAATTTGCAGCAATAAAGGTGAAATGATTTCCAGCCAGATTTCTTTTCTTCTTATAGCTTTATGTAAGACCAAAGCCTCTTCAAATTATATTTTGGAAATTTTCAAAGAGTTTTAGGTCTTTCCATGTGTCATAACCAAAACAAGTAAGGCAAATTTAGCTTAAATCATTTGATGAGATAAAACAATCAAGAATCAATAATGGAAGAACACTCTTTTTAGGTTAAAAAAAATACATAATTAAAATGAAATACCCAATTTTCCAATTCTCAAATTGAAACACATTTTCTTTAAGAAATACATATGTGCACATATCCAGACACACAGATCTGATTTAAATCTTTAACTTCTCTCACCAATACCTACTATTCCTTCAACTTGCTTTCTTTCTCATCTGAATGCAAGCAACATAAACTTTTAAAAAAGAAGTTCTCCTATCTAGATGTTTCAAAATAAATTTCTACGATCTCCTAGTAATAGTAGCCATAAAGACATATGTTGCTTTGCACTAAGCAGATATATAACTATTATAAATTCTAAAGGTATCTGAGTGACAAGTAATGGTTTTAATAAGCAGGGAGTTACCAAATCGTGCGAAACTGGAGATTGTAACCTGCTGCTTTTCAAGAACTGTTCCTACAATGTTAAGTTTCCACAGGTATCAGTGTTAGAGAGACAGGTGGCAAAATTCAGGAAAGATACGGTTTCACATCCAGTTATGCATGAATTTTGCCTTATTAGCAAACCTGATGCATATGTTAAAGCAAAATTTACTACTGGCCTAAGGATGTACAAACAAAACTCCGCTTTGAATGCCAAACAGTGTTGAGCCTTGTGGGAGTTACTGACCCACTTTTGAGTTATGACAGCTGGAGCATCCTCAGGGTTCTCACAGATGTCCAACACAGTGTTCATCTGGACATGTGTGGACACACTGTCACTTTGGGGATCATGTGAATTCAGGCTCCTGAAGTGACGGAGACAAGGGCAGCTGATGTTCAGATTACAAGTAATTATCGTCTTGGATATCCTTTTACAGCACACCTAAAATTCACCAACTGAAGAAAAAAATCATACTGAGTCTTTAGAAGACAACCAAATAATAAATTTCGGAGGTTATGGTAGGCTGAGTATGGCAGAAGATTTCTCTAGAGAAGAATAACAAAGGTAATTAGTGCCTTCCTCTCCCCAAGGACTACTGAATCTCTGACCTAAGAGAGAAATTCCCGAAGTAGTCAGAGGATACAGAAATAAGCGCAGAGTTTTCCGTGTTACAAGACGTGAGCTGTAAGACTGCATTTCACTAAAAAACTGAACAGGCCCTTAATTCAACTCACAACTAAGTTTTCTGTTTAGTAAATTTTTTAAAAATTTGTTTTTCTCTGCTGCCTAATTCTTAGATTTTGCTATTTGAGACAGTACTCAGTTCTCCTTGCACAGTTTCCATTTGTAAGAGTTATCTGTCACCTAAGATTAGTGGATCCTTACCTCAAAAAATACCTTGATAACATGTTTAGTGTGAAATGAAATTACTTGGACATTGCAGAGACTGGCTATTCACCCCACCATCTGACCTTTTCCACTTAGGGAAGAAAAATTATAAGTAAATTAAGAAAGGCTAAAACATAAACATATTTATATTGCTCAGGTTTTAAACCTGATTTTGAATCCTGATTAATAAAGTAGATTTTTACAGAGTTCAAGGAGAGAGAGAAGCCAGCTGAAATGAAAACTACTGTTGGAGGCATCCCAATGGGGGCGGGGGGTGGAAGGGGGTGGGCATCCTTGCTAATGAGCAGAGAGAGACTTGCTTATGCTGGTAACAATGTTCAGTGTTGACTGAGTATTGCCCCTGTAAGGTGGTACCATTGAGTGTGTGCCTCTTTACAGATGAGGAAGTTGAGGCTGAGAGATGAAAGGCGTGGTGAGTCACCTGCCTTTAAATGGCAAAGCCAGGTCTTCCCTGCCCAAAGCCCAACCTCCTCCCCAATCCTGAGAAAGAAGCAGCATTTTCAGCTAACAATCCTGTCCTACCAACAGTAAACTGAAATACTCACGCAGACCTGAATGAGCAAGAGGAAAGTGCTGTGCAGGCCACTGCATGCCATCCCTGGCCATGGTTCTATTCACCCCCCTGGGCGGCTCACCCTCTCCCCTTCCAGGGAAGGCTCCCAGCTGGGGCAAGCCCTTTGAGCAGGAGATGCAGTGCAGGTGGAAAACGGTGACACATTTTCCTCTTGGGAATTCTTTACTGCCTTAACTGGGGCTAATTTATCCTAATGGGAATGTGCTCTGTTGTTTTAAGACTGTTTTAATTCATGCTAATTAAGTCAGAACAATGGTCTTTTGAAAAGATGGGGGCCCATGATATAATTAGGCAGCTTTTCCTTGACTGCTAGTTTAAAATATATTACTTGAATTGTTAAAAAAAAAATACCTTGAATTGCAAACTGTCCAAGGGAATCTGTGTAATAAGGTAATTTTAAAAGATACTTTGTGTTTTTATTGTATATTCCCACAGTATGTCCCATGCATATGAGAAATACTAACCAAATGTCACCCTGAAGACATACGCCACAAAATAGAGACATTAGAAAACACATGAATTCTGTGGGATCAATTTTGATTAACGAGAATGTGGTGGCATAAAACCAAATAACTTCAATTACTCAGTCTCTCACCCTGTCCCGTGAGTTGGAGTTTGCCTGTTAGTGCTCCTATTTATCAACACAGGTATACACCAAAGACTGCTTTAGAAAACAACAATAAAAACAGCTTGTTTAGGCCCATATGTACAACAACCTTATTTTTCACTCAAACAGCTGCTCTCTGGGTCAGAACCAGAGAGTCAATAGGGTCAGAAAGTAAATACAGCACAGAGGAGGCCAATATTAATCAGGCAAAAACATTATGGAGGAAAGGGGCAAAAAAAACTGAACCATTTTAGATGCTACTCTAGTTTCTATTATATCTAACTTCCAGGAAAATTGTCCAAGAAAGGGGTTGGAGGAGGAAATACGAAGTGATGGAACTGGTGAGGGCTGTGGGGGAAGGGAGAGGACAAAGTGGAAACCTCAGGGAAGGGAAAAGGGATGCTCTGTTTGTACATGTAAAGAATAAACCCCAAAGCAAGTGCTATTAGATTCAAGAAACACACTGATGCCCCTTAAACAAATATGACAAAAAGGAAAGGCTGGCACTTTTCTCTGGTGAAGGCAAGAGAAATAGATAAGGGTGCAGCTCCCTGCTTCTTCCACCACAGGAATAGGCTTCCCAGGTCTGCAAGTGTGCATCCTGTGAATTCCAGCAGGCAGTCTGCAATGACTGATCTACAATAATTTCTTGGCTCCAGAGCTAATCTATCAGTGGTGCAGAAAGTAAACACACACAGGTCATATGAATGACATTCTACAGTAATTGATTCAACTATTCACTAAGCAGAAAGACCAGGATAATTGGTCCTTTCTCTACCTCTGGCAAGTAGTTTTTGAATCCTTTATTATAAATAAAACAATCCTATTTGACAGTACCATCTATTATCTTAAATATGACTGAACAGTCCTAAATTAATAGTATGTCTCTAAAAATTGAGCTTTTCTTAAAACAAACAGTAACTGCACTAATCCTGTTTATATAGCAACTTAAGCAATGTGGAAATGAATTAATGATTTATTAATTTACATAAAAATTACTTTATACATTAAGGAATAATTTTTCAAATTCTTAAAAAACAAAGTTTGAAGCTGTTATTATTGGGATTCATGGGAAGTGGTTTGCTCTTCTATTACTTGCTTCACAATTTCTGCCAGTTTTAGTCGATCTACTTTATCTGTGAATCCATGACCTGAAATCCAAGAAAGAACAAGGTCAGTTCTCAAACTGATTGAGACATGATGGACTCTTGACAAGAACCCAATAAGGTACACCTTACCAGTCTTAAATTTACCCTCACAAATAGAAGAACCACCCCCCCAAATGCAATTCAGATCCCCCATTTTTCAGCTAGCTATTGAGCAGTTCTATTAACCTGGCAATAAAAATCCAAACTTCACTACAACAGCACAAAAATCGAACTACAAAAAGATCTCTGTAATGTATATGTCTGAAAAGGGACTCATATCCAGAACATATAAAGAACCCCTACACATTTTAGGAAAGCCTCAACTCAGTAGCAAAGTGGGCCACAAACTTGAGTAGACAGTTTACAATTGGGGGACTCTAACTTATAGATAGACATATAAAAAGTACACAGTATCAGCAAGACATCACAAGAGTGCACACAGAAGCCCTTTTCTTTCTTTCTTTTTTTTGTTTTTGAAATTAGGGCTTCAAGCTTGCTAGGCAGGCACTCTTACCGTTTGAGCCACTCCACCAGGTTTTAAAACTTAAATTTTTTTTTTTTTGCTGGGACTAGGATTTGAATTCAGGGCTTTGAGCTTGTAAAACAGGCGCACAAAAAGCAAGTACTCTACTGCTTGAGCCACACCTCCAGTCCAGAAGCCCTTAATTACCAGAATCTAGAAACAACCCGACTGTCTATTCATTAGTAGAATGGAGAAATACATATTCATATAGTGAGAATGAATCTACACACAACATAGATGGAACTCACAAATACAATGTTGACTACAAGAAACCAGACACAAAAGAAGAGACCCGTCTGATCCTGTTTACATAAAATACAAAACTAGGCAAAACTAATCTATATTGCTAGAAATCAGAACTGTGAGTACCCGAGAGTGGAAGAAGGGAATGACTGAAAGACCACACTTGTTCTACTCTATAACCTAGATTTTGTACAGAGGAGTATTCACTTTGTGAAAATTCAGTGAAGGTACACACTTTATTTGTGATTACTTTTCTATACTGATGATATATTTCAAATTAAAAATTTTTTTTTAAATCCCAAGGAAGTTAGTATGTTCCAACTATGGGAACGGCTAGGCTAGCACCTCAGATTTCTTATGGCATACCCAAGAAACAAGCCAGGCAAGTAAAAAAATGTGCTCCCTTCCCTGGGCATCCTGGAACTTGTCTAATGTAGTCTGCTGACCTGGAATGACAATATAAAAATCAGTTTAAAAATGCCAGTTTTTTTTTTTAAAAAAAGGAAATACACCTTTCTACCTTTTTTACTTGGGGGAAGAAATTCAATCAGCAGCAGATTTAGTAAGCCTTCTAGTCTTCAGTGAAGGGCTCTTCTCTAAGCTAAACAGACCATTAGGGTGAACTTCCTGACATCTTATCCTCTTTCCCCACTTCAGCATGTGTTGCTCCTTAATGACCTGGTGAACAGACCAGGTATGTGGGAGAAACTTCCTAATGTTCAATCTGCAATACATAATTCACTTGAATGCTGGAACACAAGTGAAAGGACCAGGTATGCAGATACAACTGGGCAGATAACATAGAACTAACCCCACCCCCACTAGCCTCACTTCATCTGAAAAGAGCTCCAAATTGATCATACATGTTCCAAACATAATCACTTCTCTGCATTTTTGAGGAAAGGAGTAATTAAGGTTCCTACCATTCCAGCTGAAGCTCTGCAGAGTATCCCTTAGGAGTTTGCATTCTCGGTTATACTTCCAGGCTTCCTGCATTACTTCATTCAGTTTCTCATCTTCATTCTCTCCTGTTGGTAAGGATGAAGAGAAAGTTGCATTTCCTGTAGCAGCTTATGTCAGTGATGGAAGGAAATGATGTCCAGCTAGTTGAGAAATGATGACTAAATGTGTAATACTTCAAACACTGGCTTTACTGCTAGTCCCTCCATTACATGTGGACTGTTTCTGATCTCTGAGCTCTTCTGATTTTCCATCTTCACACAAATGCTCTCATAGTCCCAGTCAGAGACATTGAGCAAAAGTACTTGGCCAACCTAAAACCAAGAGTGGGAAGAAGAACGTGGCTGACTGTACTACTTTGTTTCTCCTAAGCTCATTCCTTGTTTTTTAAAAGGCTATCTGAGACACGTTACATGAATTCTCTTAAAAGGCAAGTAGTCTAGGAAGACAGGTTAACCCAATATTTCCTGGCCTAATATACGAAACATTTCATCCTTAGTTGAGAATAGCCACTCACATCAACCCTCTCCATGGAAAGAGAAGATACGGAAAGAAAGTTCTCACCTCCTAGGAGCTATGTCTAAGTCATTTTGCCTGTGACACAAATAGCAGAAGGAGCTAGTTCCAAACAAGGGCGGTGTTCTTTTTATATTCATAAGCTAAAGGCAGTGTTGCACTGGAAATGATGTTTATAGACTGTAATCTAGTCCTGACCCTGTCCATATTTTCATTTTCCATCCTCTACTCTCTGCCCTCATTGTGAAACTTAGAAAACACAAAATTACATGGTATACCCAACACTGGCAGTTAAGCCTAAACTAAGCTTTCACAGAAAACCAAAGGAGACATAGGACTTACATTTCTGAATTTGTGCTGTCCGCTCTTTTTAGTGGACACAGACTAATTTATACAATGTATTTTTTATTCTTATAACACAAAAGATGAAACATACAGTACCAAATTAAACACTCCTTTTTGACATGTGCACACACCCATCTGCATGCACACATACGTACATATACAGAGCATTAGTAAATGGCGTGACCTTTACCAGCCTGGGGGAGGATACACTGAGCAATCACATCTCGAAGTTTTTCCAAGGCAACATTTGAATCCTCAGCTCCATTCTCATGGTCGTGGATATAAACACCATCCTTTGGCTTGGTGCTTTAAAAGTGTGGGGGAGAGGTAATGATAAGGTAAGACCTCAGAACCCAACTCTGGATTATTAACTAAACACAAGATAAAAGACTTTCCAGATAAATAACCAGAGAGTGTCCAACTTCTGATGCCATGTAAAGAGCTTATCCTCTCTACCCTCTGAAGAGGCAGAAAAAGGACAGACCCCTGGCTGAGATTTTAGCATCCAGAACTCAACCATGCAGCCATGAAGAAATGAAGAAGTAAGCTCAGTTACCCAAGTAACTTCCTCTTCCTCAGAATGGGGTTGTTGACCGAGTGCAGGGGTTTGAGGCTGACTTTTAGGTCCTGGATTCTCATGTTGGCTAGCTGCTCTGCGTGAGCCTGCTGGATTCCTGCAACCACGGCCTGGGTGTAAACACTGACATTAGTTACTTTTGTTTTGAGATAAGGTCTCACTATGTTGCCCAGGCTATCCTTGAACCCTTGGACTCAAGTGATTCTCCTGCCTTAATCTCTTGAGTGCTGGAACTAGGGCTGTGTACCACTGTGTCCAGCTTTGTCACCCATTTTTCACATTCACTGCTGAGCATCTAAAAAGCCAACCTTAGAAAGCAGAAAGGAAAAACCTAAAGTCTTCAGAAGACAATTTCATTCTTAGACTGATGGTATACAAATTTTGATAAGGCAGAGGAATTTCCTCCTGCATTATTAGGGCCCAGAAACACTAGGCCAACCAAAGGCTAGCCCTTATTCCCTGCAGTGGGCATAGAAATTCAAGCTCGTGCCTATAGTCACTAATGACAATAATGTGAAGGCAGGGAAAGGCTGGCAGCTGCTGCCCAAGAAATCTCGCAGACTGGTGTTTATTACTCACTGCCCCACAGTGTGGCAGTCACTTCAGCCTTGGTGGCTCAGAACCCTGAACATGGCTAAGATGAGCATGGCTAAGCCTAAGGAGTGGGTCCTCATTAACTGAGGCCACACCCTAATAAACTAGTCAATTAGCTTACAATGAAAAAGAACAGTCATGGAGTCTGAATTTTTTGGGGGGGGGGTAACTTGGATTTGAACTCAGGACCCTGTGCATATGAGGTAAGCACTGTACCACTTGAACCATGCCCCCAGTCCTTTTTGCTTTAGTTAGGTTCTTGCACTTTTGCCCAGGCAGAACTCAACCAGTGATCCTCCTATCTCTCCCTCCCAAGTAGCTAGAATTGAAGGCATGTACCAACATACCCAGCTTGTGTTTTGAGATAGTGTCTCACTAACTTTTTGCCCAAGCTGGCCTCAAACTACCATCCTCCTATCTCTGTCTCCCAAGTAGCTAGGATTCTAGGCATGAGCCATTATGCCTAGCCATGGAGTCTGGTATTCTTGAAGTCTGAGCCTTTACGACCAAAGTGTACTCTCACCATGGGCAAACCAAGGTTGAAAGCCAAATAACAGGCCGGATGATATGATCCATGTTTTTAATTTAAAAGAGGACAAACTGTGTGTGCAGGTGTGCCTAGAAAAACACCAGGGAGGGTATATCATCCATTAAGCCACAGAACACCTCATCTTGGAGGGATAAGACTGTGGCAAGAGAAAGACAGGAACTTTTTTGTTTTTTATTTTGACACCTTTGTAGTCTCTGAACTCTAACAACAAAATCTGACAACTTTAAGAAAGTAGTTACTTAGAACACAGTCAGATCAGGAGAGTTTGAGCTCATTTAATAAGGGCATCATGTACTCATAGCCAGCCTGGGCTACAACCTCGAATCCATCTCACCCCTGGGCAGAGCTTTAAATGGATGCCGTTCACATCTGTATACAGGCCAAAACTGACCATCAACACCACGAAAGCATGTCTTTAGAAATAGGAATACTGTCATCTTCTAGGCGTGGGGACCATTCTTTCTCACTAAGAATTGCATGTCCAGACCTGGCTTCACTGTGTACTGGTTTTTAAGTAACTCCAGAAGGCAATGTTATCTTAGTTCCAAGATGTTGAGAAATGCCATCCTGTCACCTCCATGTAGCTGACAACCAGGAACAAGCTATCCTTTTGGACTTTGGACTGACCAAACCATTTCTGGACAACTGGGCATATTTAAGCTGAGAAGCCAACCACCTGCAAATCAAAGAGATGACAGAATTTTTTCCTTACAGCTCTCCTTTTTCTCCCATGCTCCAGCTAAACTTAGCATTCTTTTTTCCTATTCATTTATTGTCACACTCCAACCCTATGCCTTTGAAGCTGGTAATATTCAAGTAGATATCACTGCCTTGGTTTCTCAGCCACATTCTTCTTTCATACTATTTGTCTCCTTCATTTCAATGTCCCTGCTACCTCAAAACAGCATCTAAAGCCTACAAGACTCCATTTTAGCCAAACCAGGGTCCTTCCTGGTTTTCCTGCTTGGCAATAGTATCACCAGGTAGGCTAGCCACTATCTCTTTAGATCTCCTCAGTCACAAAAAATTAGAAATTTTACTTCATAGATATTGAGCCTTTTCACCCATCTTTATTTCCCTTTTCCCAGAATCACCCCTCAGCTTCTAGCTCACTGCAGGAGTCATAGGTTGGCTGATCGGAAAATCTGACTGGCCATCCCTAAATACATTCCCAGTGACAAAAAATCTATGGTACATTTCTGCATGCCACTTAGTCTTCAACCCCTCTGTCTCTTGCAAAGCTCAGCTCTGCCACACTTAGCTCACTGACTTCCCATTAATGAGGCCAGATTGTTTTTCCCACTGATACACTTTGGTCTCTTAATTTTTTTGTTTATGCTGTTTATTCCATACAAACATTTATACCATCTATTCAAATTCCTCAAGAATAGCTCATGTGGTGGAGCGGCTCAAATAGTAGAGTGTGTGCCTTGTAAGTGTGAGACCCTGAGTTCAAACCCCAGTACCACAAAAAAAAAAAAAAAAAAAATCATTAAAAATAGCTCATGGCTGAACCTATGAAAGAACTTAGAAGCATTTATACAGTAGAGAGTAAGTGTGAGAGTTCTTGCCTTTTCACTGGACAAATTACACACCCTTTGGAGATGTTCTTTTTTTTTTTTTTCTGAATTCCCATAGCATTTACAAAAGTTTACCATGCAAAGTTCTGATGTCTAAAATGTTACCTTTTTGCTTTGTGTGTATTGGCCTTGCCTTACTAACCAGTCTTTTTTAAACACCTTGGAGGAGGGCATCTTACACGGCTATGGGCCCCCAAATCCATGGCACAAATATAGAGGATATTCCTTTGAGCATTCCCATATTGCATATTTACCAGGACTTGATCTGGTTTTTTATGGAAGTAAGTTCTTTATTTCAGTTCCTGATTTTCAGAAAACAAGGGATGTTCTCCCGGGAAAGACAGCATACTCTCCACTCTTTCTACTCTACCCTTCTAATTGAGTCATGCCCCAACTTTCCTTCTCAACACAGCCGTTTCAGCCAACAAAATAAGTAGCATTCAAACCTTATCCATCATCAGTTGGGCAGAAGGTAGAACATTGTCCAGGGCCTCAGTCGAGTTGAGCCACGGGTGGTCCAGCACTCCCTCAATGGTGAGTCTTTCCTCTGGTTTGACCTTTAGGAGCCTGTGGAGAAAACACCAACTGGGCTTCCATGCATGGATGCCCCAGAAAGCACAGGAAGTTCCCAGGTCGGCTCCAGTTTGCCCTGGCTTCTGACTTTTCACCAACTCCTGCATGCCTGTACCTTCTACCTGCAGGTCATGAGTGGGATTCTAATCCCCAGTCATTTGTAAGAGTACTGTTGCTTGAGGTGTACTGGACAATATCATATAAAACTGGTACAAAAAGTCTTAATCTAGTGATACTTGAGACTACGTTATAGGGCTTAAGAAGATAATCTTACAAGCCTAACAGTTCCTGAGATCTTAAATCTCCATACTGAGGTTTCTCGGTTTCTGATAATGGATTTGAAATTGGTCGTGCAGTTTTGAAAAAAGCAAGTTGCGTCCCATGATAAACCTAGATGTGATCATGTGTATGGCAGGACACGAATCTTTCTTTACTTCAGTGACATTCAAAACCTGAAACTCAAGTCTCTGAGATGGGATAGCACTTCCTTCTAAGCCTAACATACTGCTTCTGCACCATCTGCTTTTTAACCATGATGACACAATTCCTCACTCACTTAAGCACATCCCCTGGGCTCTTTGCCGCATTGTCTCCTTCCAAGTATATATCCTCACATCCCAAATGTCATAGTCAGGACAACAGGCCTAACTGTCCTTTCAGATTATCTGCAACCTTCTGAATCATTTTAAACAAACAGCTTCACAATTCTAAAGCAAGGATTATTTAGAAAAGAACCCAAAAACCAGAAGAAGCTAACCAGGGTTGCTGTAGGAAATACACTCCATAAAGAACTGGCAGAGAGCCACTGAGAGAGCACTAAAGTTTTGTTCTTGTTTTAGTGGGACTGGGGTTTGAACTCAGGGCTTTGCACTTGCAAAGCAGGTGCTCTACACCTTCAGCCACCCTTCAGTTCATTTTGTTCTGGTTATTTTGGAGATGGGGTCTCAGGAACTATTTGACTGGGTTGGCCTCAAAGCATGATCCTTTTGCCCTCAGCCTCCCAAGAAGCTAGGATTACAAGTGTGAGCCATCAATGTCTGGCAACATGGAGGTTTTGTTAAAGAGCTGGCCATACAGCATGGAAGTAGCATGTGAAGACAGATGGGGATTTAAACATTGCCACCACCTTCCTAAAATTTTTTACTTTTATGTTTTAGAAAATAGTTCCTCTTTACAGACATAGATTTCCTGACCAACAGCACAAGTTCACTTCTGAAAGGGAGTAATCAATCCAAAAGAAATGGCTGCACTGTCAGAAAATAGTCTGAGTACTGTGTCCTTTTCACTTACCTTCATCCTGTACCACCACCAGATGAAGAAACCAAAAAAGGATAAACTGCTCGGTAAGGACCAAGCAGTGGAAATACCAGAAGAGTACCCAAATCCCCATATATCCAAGTTTTCCACATGGGTGGTCAGAAAAAGCAAACAGACCTTAAATTTAGGTATGCTTTTGTCAATCCACCTGCTACCAACGAGTGTCCACTTCTTTCATCCTGTCACTAGCCCTAGTTCTTATAAATCTTCCCAGCTTAATGTATGTGTAACTACATTAAGCAGTAATGCAACTAGCAGTGGGAAGGCTGGAGAGTGGGCTCCAAGCCTGACACAGCCACACACTATGACAGCATCCAGTGAAAAGCTAAACATGTCGCTGTCATGTCAGCACCCAAATTCAGTATCCTGCCATCAGGTTTCCCCCCAGTGACTGGCTTTTCATTTAAGAAAAGGCAAAGCAGGAAGCCTGCCATTTAGGGACCTGAATTAATACCCACAGCGAATGGCTACAGAAGGTCTGGGTTCACAATCCTGGGGACTAAGTCTAGGGGTGCAACAGAAGGGAGAAAAGCTCCATTTTGCTGAGGTGTTGACACTGAGAAATCTTCCCTCTGGCTTCAGGGATAAGATTCCTGTGACATAAAAATAGGATGAAGCCTGTCAGGGAAACAGATAACTTCTCTACCCAACATCTCCTCGGCTCCATCTTCTCAAGACCTTCTTGGCCTTCCCACCCAGCAGTCCAGGGACTCACTTCCTCACAACATCTTTGGCCATCTCTGAGATCTGGCTCCATTCTTCTTCTGGGAACTCAAAACTGCCTGTCATGATCTTTCTCCTCATGTCCTTTGGGATAGTCCGGCTGTGGTGTTTGGAGTAAAAAGGAGGGTATCCACACAGCATCACATAGATAATGACGCCCAGGGACCATAAATCACAGCTCTGAAAACAAAAAGGAGAACAGTCACTCACAGCAGAGACAGAGCCTCATATAAAGCCTGGGGACCTTCATGTACACAGGTTGATACTTCCAGGAATCACTCAACAGAGATTAGAATAGTTTCAGAACATCTTAGGAGACCTAACCTTTCTTTCTTTCTTTTTTTTATTTTTTTGGTGGGAATGGTGTTTAAACTCAGAGCCTCACGCTTGGTAGGTAGGCACTCTACCATCAGTCCTTTTTTGTTTTGGGTATTTTTGAGGTAGGATCTCCAGAACTATTTGCCCAGGCTGGCTTCAAACTGTGGTTCACCTCATTGCTGCCTCTGGAGTAGCTAGGATTACTGATGTGAGCCACTGGTGCCTGGTTCTTCCTATTTTTATATTCTACCAATACTACATATATGCACACTATTAAGGTGCCAGTCTGGGATAAATAGTCACTTTTATTCTCACTGCTTAGGCCCACGCAGTACCTCTGGGTACAGTGGTAGAACACTTTGCTTCCAGCCAGAGAAATAAAAGGTACAAGTCAGCTAGCTGTGAAACATACACTATGTCAACCTAGGCAGAGTTGAGGGCACAGAAAAAAGCAGCTAAGACAATATGTAAGCTGACCCCATAACAGCATAAGCCATTTCAAAAAGGCCTAAAGCAGTTTGAAACGAATCAGAGAAAGAAACTGGAAGGGACAGAAGGTATGGAAAGCATTCCTTTGGACACAAAAGATTCAGCTCACATGCAAGACTTTACAGTATTCTGGGGGGGAGATATTTTCACCAGCTACCATCTCTGTAGGTATTTAGGTGTCTACATGACCTGTAATTGCTGCATGATTACCAATAAAGGACCCCTGTTTTAGTTAAATGCAGCTCCAATAGCAAATGGGTCTGCAGAGGCTTCTTGAATTGTGGGACAAAAGAGGTATCTACCTGAGAAGGGCAGCCCAGTGACCCTGCCACTGGGACCTCATACCACACCTATGTGTTGATTGGGGAGAAGGGACTAGAAAATGGGTGTCTCAAGCACTCTCGCTCACGTTCTGGCATTATTCTAATGGATGTTTGACACATGCTCCAGAAAATTACTGTGAAATTATAGAGAAGAAAGGGTTTTTCAAAATGACCAAGTTCAAGTCCCTCACTTTACAGATGAGGCAAGTTATACTAGAGTAAATAAACTAAATGACCTAACCAACATCACACAGCTGAAGAGCCAGAGCGGTTCTCCCATCTTTTTGCCATCCTCAGTTCCTTCTCTGTCACCCATTTCTAGCCTCAAATCCCCAAGTAGCATCATTTTTTTTTCTGATCTATTTAGCAACTCCACGACCAGAGGCCCTAAACCTCCTGTGCTTTAAAACAGAAGTGCTTGATATGTGGGCTACAAGTGAGTAACTGTGTGTGATAGTACCAAGTAACATTTAGGAGCATTTGGAATATGTACAAGACATGTTCAAATTGGGTATTTTATGAGGCAAGAAAGAATGGTACCATAAATTCCCACAGAGTATTCTCTAGCTTCAGCTTCCACCTCAAAAACAATACAATTATGTCCTTTTAATGTGGCCAGTGGACTTTTCAACCAGCCAAATAAATAACTTAACAGGTTCCCTTGGTTCCTGCTGAAAAGATAAATAGAAGAGAACTTTATTTTATCACATAAAAACTTGGATTCTAAATAATTTCCTACATGCCTGGCTGCTTCTTATCTCACAAATACCTCACAAGGAGGAGAGAGGCTATACTGGCAGGGCAAAGATAAATATCTTTTCCCCTACCTTGTTGTAAGTGTAGGGTGTTGGTGAGGTAGGTATGATACCAGACTTCTCCTTCTGATGCCTTCTCTGTGCCTCTAGTACCTGTCAAGAGTCAAACCAAAAGAGACGATTTATTGAAAATCACACCACCAGTATCCTACAACTTGAGACAGACTACTGGAGGGCTGAGGAGGACTGGCAATCAATAATCAAAAAATAACTCTAGCCAGGCATTTGTGGCTCACTCTGTAATCCTAGCTACTAGGCAGACTGAGATAGGGAGGATCACAGTTTGAGGCCAGCCCAAGCAAACATTTCATGAGACCCCATCTCCAAAATAACCATAGCAAAATGAACTGGAGGTGTGGCTCAAGCGGTAGAGCATCTGCTTTGCAAGCGCAAAGCCCTGAGTTCAAACCCCAGTCCCACCAAAATAAATAAAAGCTAAAAAAATAAATAAAAGTAACTCTAAAGGCCAGTGCAGTGGCTTATGCTTGTAATCCCAGCTATTCGGGAGGTGGAGATCAGGAGGATTTCAGTTCAAGGCCAGCCTAGGGAAAAGTTAGTGAGACCCCATCCCAACAAATATCTGGGTGTGGTGGCACATGCCTGTCATCCCAGCCATATGGAAATCATAAATGGGGGGAATCATAGTCCAGGCTGGCCTGGGCATAAATGTGAGATCCTATCCCCAAAATAACAAGCAAAAAGACTAAGTGTGGCTCAAATGGCTTAGTTCAAACCCAGTACCACCATAAATAAATAGATAAACCTTGTCTTCTTACAACCAGTCATTTAACTAGTCAAGAACATGCCCAGGCCAGAGACACAAAGATCAAGTTGCTTTATCTTTATCCTCAAGGAGAAGATTTTTCTCTCTCTCTGCCTATCAAGGAGTCTACGATGGCTAGCTTTCCTTAGGGCTGTCCTTTATGCCTATGCAAAAGCAGACCCACACTGGCCAGACAGGCAAGGACCATCAGAGATGATAACAGTCACACTGGTCTGGGTGTTAAGAGCAACAAAGAGGTAGACACTGCCATCTGTGGGGCTACCATACTGGCCACGTTCTGCACTGTCTCATGTGGCAGGACTATGGGGTAAAAAGGATGGGACTAGCAACCCTACTGTTCCTTGAGAGGTGACAGGATGCTGAGGCTTTGTGCTAGTGTACTTTATGCCCACACCCATTGGTACTGCCTTAGCTATAAGCCCATGGAGTTGCTGATGGTGGCAGATAACAAAACACTAACCCTGCCAGGGATGTACTGTTGCTTTGTGTAACCTGGACAAGGCTACTTTCAATGCCCCCTATAAGATCTATAGCTAGCTTATATAATTATAAAGTTCAAATGGAAATGCAAAGCAATCAGAATAGCCAAAACTACTCTGAAGAACAAAACTGGAAGGCTAAGACTCCCTGCTTCAAGAATTATTCTAAAGCCACAGTAACCAAGTCACTGTAAGTAGTATAAAGTCACGTAACGAGATCAGCAGTGTAGAATTCAGAGTCCAGTAACAAACTCACCTATATGTTCAACTGATATTTTCGCAGTACTGGGGTTTGATCTTAGGGCCTCATGCTTGCTAGGCAGGCACTCTTACCACTTGAGCCGTTCCATCAGTCTGTTCAACTCATTTTTTGACAAAGACTCAAAAACAATAGACAGCCTTTACAACAAATGTGCTGGATCAACTATATATCCAAACTTACACTATACCTAGTACATTCTACAAAAATTAACTCAAATAGATCATATAAGCCTAAATGTAAAACCTAAAGCTATATAAAATTTCTACAACATAGGGGAAAAATTTTCTGATCTTAGGTTAAACAAAGATTATTTGACCAGGTGTAGTGGTGCTGGTCTATAATCCCAATACTCAGGAGGATGGCAGTATGGAGAGTTCCAGCCCAGCCTGACCTCCTTAGTGAGACCTTATCTCAAAAAATGAGTAGGGAAGGGAGAGGAGATGGGGAAGGAGATGAGAGGAGGAAAAAAAGAGGGGGAAGCTGGGGACATAGCTTAGTGGCAGAGCACTTGCCTTGCAAGTGGGAGGCCCTGGGTTTAATTCTCAGCAAAAGCACAGGACATTAAACTTTTTCTGATGAACTAGCTTTCACCAAAACTAAAATCTGCTGATAAAAAGACATTGTTAAAAGAAGGAAAAGATAAGGCACAGACTGGAAGAAACTTTTCACAAAGCAGATGTCTAATAAAGGACTCACATCCAAAATATACAAAGAACTTTGAAATCAAAACTCAGTGTAAAAAAATGAGGAAAAGATGTGAACGGACACTTCAGCAAAGCAAATACAGAGTAGTGAAAGAAGCCCAAGATGCTCCCCATTCTTAGTGAGCAGGGAAATGCAAACTGAAGCCACAGTGAAATGTCACTAAGATGACTAAAATGAAAATGAGCACAACACATGCTGGTGAGAGTATAAAGGACCTAAAACTATCATCCCTTGCTGGTAGGAATAGAAACTGATACAGTCACTTTGGAAAACAATTTGGTAGTTTCTAAACAAGTTAAACATACACCTACACATGACCTTGCAATTCCACTTGTAGGTATTTGCTCCAGAGACAAGAAAAGAAAACTACACAAATGTTTATAAACAGCTTTACTTGCAACAGCCAGAACCTAGGGAAAAACCAAATGTCTATCAATATTTTATAGTAAACCTAGGTAACAGAATACCTCTCAGGAGTAAAAATGAATGAATTATTGACACATGCCTCAACACAGGTAAATCTTAAAACAGTTATGCCAAGAAAAAAACACCCCAAAATGAAAATAATAAGACAGGCATCTGAGAACTTAAGAGGTTGAGGCAGGAGAATCACAAGTTCGAGCCCAGCCTGGGCTACGTAGGAGGACCCTGTGTCAAAAATAAAAATAAAATTTAAATAATAAAATGGAAGAAAACACTATATAATGTACTATAGTAGCCCTCCCTTATCTGTGGTTTTGGTCTCAGAAGTTTCAACTACCCAGGGTCAACCCATGGTCCAAAAATAAATGAAAAATTCTTTCTGAGCGAGGTTAGCCTGGCCCAAAAGACCAAAAATCATATGTTCTCCCTCATATGCAGACATTAGATCAAGGGCAAACACAACAAGGGGATTGAACTTTGATCACAAGATAGAAGCGAGAGCACACAAGGGAGAGGTGAGGATAGGTAAGACACCTAAAAAATTAGCTAGCATTTGTTGCTCTCAATGCAGAGAAACTAAAGCAGATACCTTAAAAGCAACTGAGGCCAATAGGAAAAGGGGACCAGGATCTAGAGAAAAGGTTAGATCAAGAAGAATTAACCTAGAAGGTAACACACACGCACAGGAAATTAATGTGAGTCAACTCCCTGTATAGCTATCCTTATCTCAACCAGCAAAAACCCTGTTCCTTCCTATTATTGCTTATACTCTCTCTTCAACAAAATTAGAGATAAGGGCAAAATAGTTTCTGCCGGGTATCGAGGGAGTTGGGGGGAGAGGAAGGGGGCGGGGTGGAAGGTAAGGGAGGGGGTGGGGGCAGGGGGGAGAAATGACCCAAGCATTGTATGCACATATCAATAATAAAAAAAAGAAAGAAAAATTCTAAGCACAGTAAGTTTTAAGTTGCATGCCGTGTGATCACAACAGCAAACAGCTGCTATTCTGTGTACTATACTGCTACGTTTGGTGTTCAGAAAGCTGGGTATATCAAATGTACTTTCAACTTAATAGTATTTTCAATTTACAGAGAGATTATTGGGACATGATTCCACGGTAAGTTGAGGAGTATGTATGCTGATTTTATACACACTGTTTCAGAAAACAGTAAGACATACGAATGAAAGAAAAAAAATCAGTTAAGAGTCACTTTCCTACAATTTTCATGAGACCAGCATTACAAAAAGCAATTATGAACCAATATCTCTCCTGTTAAAAGACACAAAATCCCTCTGAAGCAGAAGAACATACTATGACTAAGTGGGGTTTATTCCAGGAATGTAATATTGGTAACACTTGAAAAATAAATGTAATTCATTATATTAACAAAAAGGAAAAAATACTGTTGACTAAACAGATGCAGAGAAAAAGCACTGGAAAAAAATTAAACATACATTCACTTGCAGTAAACTAAGAACAGACAGAAACTTGCTTAGCCTGATAATAAACACGTATAAAACTAACAATATCATACTTCCAGTGGTGAAGGATTAAACATTTTCTTCCTCTAAGATCCGCAATGAGGCAAGGATATCTGCTCTTATCACTTACATTCAATTTGTGTCCAACTGGTAGTCCTAGTTGCTAGGTACAATACAGCAAGGAAAAGAAAAGGCAAATATAGTGGAACATACAAACCAAAAGTGTATTAATTTACAGACAACATGACCTTGTATGTAGACAATCCTAATAAATCTACAAAAAGATTTAGTAGAACTAGTAAGTAAACTTAATAAGATCCTAGGATTAAAAAGTCAATGTACAAAAGAGAAAGAGAGGAAGGAAGGAAGGAGGGAGGGAGGGAAAATTATCATGCCCGTGGTTCTTAGGAACAAAAGGCTCTGTTAAAATTAAAAAAGAATGTCACACTCCTGGCTTTCATGATGAAGGAAGAAGCCAAAAGACAAAACCGCAGGCAGCCTCTAAAAGCTAGAAGAAACAAGGAATGGATTCTCCCCTAAAGCTTCCAGAAGAAACACAGTCCTGCTGATACCCTAATTATACCCACTGAGTACCATTTTAGACTTCTCATCTTCAGAACTATTAAGATAATGAATGTGTGTGTGTGTGTGTGTGTGTGTGTGTGTGTGTGTTAACTATCCTGGGATTTGAACTCAGGGCCTACACCTTGCCTTTTTTGTGATAGGTTTTTTTGAGATAGGGTCTCGCAAACTGTTTGCCCAGGCTGGCATGGAATTGTGATTCTTCTGATCTCTGCCTTCTGAGTAGCTAGGATTACAGGCGTGAACTACCAGCACCCAGCAGGGTCTTACTTTTTGTCCAGGACAGCTTGGACCATGACCCTCCTATGTATGCTTCCTGCAGTAGCTGGGATGACAGGAGCACATCACCGTCCAGCTTTTTTGTTGAGGTGGGGCCTGTGACCTTTTTTGCAGGGGCTGACCTGGAATCAAGATCCTTCCTACCTCAGCCTCCCTCAGCCTCCTGAATACCTGGGATGATAAGCATACCCTATTGGTTGAGATGGGTCTCAAAAACTTTTTTGCCTAGGCCTTAAACTTTGATCCTCGCAATCTCCACCTCCTGAGTAGCTACGATTGTAACTACTGTGAGCTACTGGCTCAACTAGAACTCTTGGGAAAAAAAAAAAATCCTGGTAAAAACGAAATGGTTAAGCCATTTTGAAAAAAGATACTTATAGATGGGAAACTATGGCTGATAAAACTTATAAGTGAATGAATAGCCCAAATCAGGAAACAACCCAAAATGGTCATCATCAGTCAGTGTATGGAAAAACAATTGTATTTTGGCCGTAGAAAAAACAAACTACTAATACACGCAGTAACACAGATTAATCTCCACATCATGCTGAGCAAAAGAAGTGAAACCTACAAAGTCCATGATTCCATTTTTGTGATGTTCAACAAAAGCAACCAGCAATGACAGAAGGCGTTATCAGTGGATGCCTAGGACTAGGGGTTCAGATGGGAGGAAACTGATTGCAGAGGCACAAAGCAGCTTGTGAAGAAATGGAAATGTTTTGTATTTCATTATGGTTGTGGTCACTGGAGTATGCACTTGTCAAAACTCATCAAACTACACCTGAGGTAGAAAGATGGTATTCTCCCTATTGTGGTTCTGTTTTCTGTGATTTCAGTTATTGGCAGTTAATTATAGTCTAAAAATTGCAGAAATCATGAGTCTTAAATTGTGTGCTGTTCTAAATAGTATAAAGAAATCTTGTACTATCTCGTGCCACCCTTCTCAATCACCTAGAACTTGAGTCTTCCCTTTGTTACACTCCCCACCTGTTAGTCATTGAGCAGCCAATTCAGTTCTCACATCAATTATCTCAGTAGTACCACAGTGCCTATGTTCAAATAATCCTATTTTACTGAATAACAGCCCCAAAGTGTACTAGTAGTGATGCTGACAATTCAGATATGCCAAAGGGAAGCCATAAAGTACTTCCTTAAGTGAAAAGACCAAAGTTTATCATAGATATTTATATATAGGAAAAACATACTATATGTAAGTTTAGTATTGTCTGCTTTTTCAAGCATCCTCTGGGTGCCCTGGAATGTATCCTTCATAAGAGAAAGGAGCTACACTATTTTATAGTATGCAAATCCTACCTGTAAATCATAGCTCAATAAAAGTTGATTTTAAAAGAAAGACAAATCTATACCAAATGAAGCAATCTGCAGGTTTCAGAAGCTGAGTGCCTCCTTCCCTCATCTACAGTACATGCTTATTTATGGTACAGGAATAGAAGAAACATGAGTCTGCAGGCAAATTGGTCATGCATCTTCGGGAAGAAAAAGCACCTGCTTACCTGAGGTGCTACATAATAAGGGGTGAACTGGGGTGTCATCAAGTCACCCTGGTCAATTTTAGCAAATCCAAAGTCACACAATTTTACTGAAGCATCCTGGAATAAAACAAACGAGTCACTGTTCCACAGTTCTTAGTAAACATTAAAGAAAAATCTAGGTCTAAGACATGTGACCCTGAGGCCTTACAAATTTCTGGCTGAGACTTGAGCCTATGAATAACTTGTCTCCAGGTCTACAGACAACAATTCATATTGAGTAACAGAGAAGAAAGGGATTACTACCCACTCACTTAGTTGACTTGCTTTGTAACTTGTAAAAGGCAGTTCTGAAATCAGGGTCTTAGACTACTGGCCTTCATTTTATAGGCCCATTACCTCTTATCAATCCAGGGTGTTGCTTCACTCTGAATATCAGTCATAAGCTTCATGACAGCTAGAGCAAATTATTGGTGGGGTATAGGGCCATGGGAGGGAATAAAGGGAAAAGAACACCTTATCAGGTTTAATAGCAAATGAAACTTAAGTTTTAGGGTGATGTATAACAACACATAGATTCCTGCCCCTTCCCAAAGACCCTCCAAATAATATTCAAAATAATAAGTTCCATAAATACATATTGTTATCATCCAAAATTATCAATGCCAGGAGTATAGTAAAATTTCTGAGCCTCTAACAAGGGAACAAGTGGAAGAAAGAAGCTGTTGGAAGCACTTTGGCCTAATGACTCCGCCGTGGACTCAAGCATTCCAAACACATGTATACTCCTGAACTAAGAGTGGCAGCACTAAAATGTAGAAAAGCAAATTTTCTCACCAAAGAGTTATCCTTGAAAAGCAGATTTTCAGGCTTGAGGTCTCTGTGCGCAATGTTTAACAAGTGACAGTGCTGTAGAGCCAAAGCAATCTGAAAAGACACAGTAGAGCAACCACCTCTTAGAAAAGAACAACCTCTAACACCCCTATGGCAGAAATCTCAGGATGTTAAAAAAGCAAACTGTGGGTCACTTTCATTTCAATGTAGAAATTAAGAAAGACTTGTGGTACCAACAACTAGAGATGAATTAAGCTCAGTTTAACTACAACCTATACTTTGTTAACAAACAACAAAAAACATGACAGTAAAACAACTCTTTGTCAGAACACATTGATGATTACATCCTGTAAGAAATGGAAAAATGAAATGCTCCCACTTTTATTCATCTGAGGTGTGACAGCCACTGCCAAGGAAATGCTAAGCTGGCGGTCTTCAGCAGGCATAGGTTTCCCAGCCAGCCTCCAGCAGGACTACCTGGCTCAGAAGAGAACTGTACTCTAGGGAGCTGAATGGCAGGCTCCATCTTCAAGCCAGCTGATTGATTTTTCCAACTGATGTTCTCATCTTGTTGAAATGTTGCCTGTTTGTGTGGACTTGAGTGGTTTTGGTTTTATGGATGATTATCAGAGCTCATCCATTAGTCCTAATATTTGAAAAATGAAAGAATCTAAAAAGTTTAATTGAAAGAACAGATTCTACTATTCTACAATTCTCAGTATAGAATTTTCTCAGCATTCCAAATATCAATTCCCCCTAATCAATCAGAAAAGAGACATTCAAAAATGCTTGAAAATTATCATGAAAAATTTGGAAGTGTCTTTGATTAAAACCTAATTGGGCTATACTTCCTGCTTTTCTTTGCCCTGCTTGCTTGGTCTGAAGATATGCCTGGAGGGTTTAGCTTTTCACCTCTACAAGAGATTCATACCAGTCAGATTCCTAGTATTGAATATGAATTAAATAATTTCTATAATAAAATATAATGATAAGATACAAATAACCCAGAATTACAAAGATCTGAGAATGCTATTAAAATCTTCTGAAAATATAGACAGGTGGCTCATGAAAGAAGCATTTTATATACATGTTTTACAACAAATTTTTGTACCATACGATCTTCCAGGTGGTATCAACAGCATTTTATTTCAAAGTCCAATAATATGGAAGCACTATGTTTAAAGATCGCAACAGTCAATGAAGGAGGTAAGATTATTTTCCTTTCAATTTAATTTTATCTTACAGTAAGCCTCAGGAAACAGTTGGCAACCAATTAATGATACATTCCTCTCCCCCACCCCCGAGTACAAAAGGGGTTACATTTCTCCTGTCAAGACATCCTTTCTGATTACATAACAAAGCAGGCAATGAGAAGTCAAATAGAGCTTTTCGTTAAGCTTTCTTTTATCCCCTAATGAAATCGCAGTGGTTAACCAACACAGCTGGCAGTTTGACTGGTACCCGGGGTTAACTTGCCTGCTTTGTTACTTGGCTGGCTTGCTTCTCTGTAAAGTGCCGGTGCTGGCTGATTCTGTGAAATAGCTCTCCCCCTTCCATCATCTCCATTACAATTAAGAGTCGAGCCCTGTTTGAAAGCATTTGATTTTGTTAAGTTAAAAAAAAACCAAAACCAAAAAAAAGCCTGAAACATTAAAAAACTGACCTAAAGAGATCTCAGCTACAGTGTGTAACTACTTCCTAAGTTGAGTAACGAAGCAACTAAATAAGAGCAAAAATTCTCATGTTCTCAAAAAAAAAAAAAGAAGAAAAAAGAAAAAAAATCTAACTTGGTTACCATTCTTTGATATAAATGCTTCCAGCTTCCATCCAAATGCTTTCACCAACAGAGCAGTTGTGAAAAATAATCACTTAATTTCCCATTTGTTTTTTAAATTCCACCTTCTGTCTTCACCTGTAAAATATCTACTCTCCTTTCGGGTCCTAGCCTTCACATAGCCCCTGTGAGACATCACACCTCCCAGACTACACTTATAGTAGCTCTCTCTTCCCTAATGATCACAGCACGTGATGGACGCACCTCTCTAGTGCCTAACACACTGCATGATGGTGGATTTACATCACAGGTTCCCCAGCGGAGAGGACTCCAACACCACCTAGCGTGCTTGCCAAGCATTTGGCAGCTAAAAGAATAATGATAATTTCTTCCTTTAAAAGTCAGAATAAGCAACAGAGTATTCTGCTGTATCAGCCTCTAAAACTGCCTGGAATAACATGTGGTCCCTTTGCACTGATTTGAAATACAATAAAGATTTTTTTCCTTAGACAAGGGCTTGGCTACATTGCCCAGACAAGCCATGAATTCCAGATAGTCTTGCCTCGGCCTCTGACTGGAATTATAGATATGTACCACTTCTCCCAGCCCTTAATTTAATTTTAATTTTAATTAATTTATTTATTTGGCAGTGCTGAGGAGCAAACCCAAGGTCTTGTGCTCTACCACAGATGATAGCCTCAGTCCTTAAAAAAAAAAAATTTTTAAGAGAAAGTAATCAAAATAATCGGGGGGCTGGGAAATGGACAGATGGTAACTGTTGAAGCTCAGTGATGAGTACTTGGGGGTTCATTACATAATTCTGTCAGCTTTTACATGTTTGAAAGTTTTCCAGACTCTAAAGGAAAAGGCAAGAAGGCAGGGAGAGGGAGGAAGAGAGTCATACAGGGCCTGCACGTGGGTGGGCTGTGTGCTGACCTGTGCAGTCTTACCTGGGGCTGGACTCGTGAGGAAATTGTACACTGTTAGCAAACACTTCAACAATCTGAACTATATTGGGGTGTGTGGCACACATCATATGCAGACGTACCTTAAAGAGAAAAGAGGAACTGTTTCTGTGCAAAGGGGACGCCAACATTTTCTCTCCAAACTTCCCACCAAAATCTGACTACACTAGGTGCAAGGAATAAGCTTAGTTCAGTAGAAAACTTTGTCACCCAGAATGATGTAAGAAAACAGTTTGGGGTTTTTTGTTTTTCTGATAGTGGAGACTGAGCCCAGGGACTTGCACATGGTAGGCAAATGTTCCACCACTGAGCTATATCCCCAGCAAAACCAGTGTCTTCACATACAGATTATCTCCTCAGTGCTCTTACCACAAATAAAACCTCACCAACAAATTTACTTTCTACTATCCTGTCTGTTAGTAAATGAAAAATTTGGCAAATAAGTCATTTTATTTCAGAAATGATCTCTTTAAGCAACAGAATCCTTCATTACACATGTTAACAGCATGTCATCACTACATCCAGATTTTATGCATACCTATATCTATGTATATAAATACTTACACATAAACATATCCTTACAGTCCTCCCGCAGAAGCACCTTCTATACAACATGCACCTTACCTTTCCTCATCCTATTTTATCTCTATCTTTCAAGCACCATTTTTAATAAGCAAAAACTGAAGTAAACCTGAATGTCAGGGTACAACAATCACATTAATTAAAAAATAATGTGACGTGGCCAAAAGAAAACAAAGACTCTACTAATTAACAGCTCTCTCTAAGCCAACAGATGCAGGACTCCTTAACAATGTAACATGCATAGGGAAGACAGGTAAGTTTGGACATCTCTGTATTCTCTCCTGGAAGCTGCCTTAATTGTAAAAAGAGTAATTCTTAGGCACCTCAAATATTTAGGCAAGTCAAAGCAGTAAAGGACCATACCTCATTTCTAGCTTTTGGACGATCAAGAAGAATTTTCAGCGCAAACCGTTCTTGGGTAGACTTCCTCACACAGACTCTAGATTTGGAAAGGAAAAAAATTAATCAGCAATCATCTGTGTTATAATGAAAATTAATTTCACAAGTCTATTTTTTAGGAATTGTACTTAAATCAAGGATATGTCCAAGTGCCTCAGAACAAACTTCTGCCAGTGAAGCAGGTGGAGAGGCAGAGAAGTGTCTTCTTCCCAGCCACCTCTGCTCAGGTCTCAGCTTCCTGGGCATGTGACATCAATTCACCACCACATGCCAATAAAGAAGTAATGGCCTCTGATGGCTTATAGATGACTCTCAAAATGGTTCCACAGTCTCGACATCTTAAATTATTCCATACTACAGACCATGTGACTTGGTCACTTAGCTATAGTTCTAGAAACACGAGTCAAAAGAAAGAAAAACCAACCTAACATAAAATCCTCTATTAGGAGCTGGGGGTGTAGCTCAATGGTACACACACAAGGCCCTGAGTTCAATCCCAAGCACAAAAACCAGAGCAAAAATCTTCTACTTGTTATATTAAGGCTCTTTGTCAAACGTGGCACAGGTGATGCCTGTAATTCAGGATGCATCCACATAGCCCTTTACAGAGTGACTTTGCCCCAGTTCTTACAGGTGACTCTTACCTAACAGGACCACTGATTCCAGCACCCAGCTTCTGAGTCCAATTGATATTGTATTCTTCTAAAATGGAAGTTTCCTGTTAAAATAAAAAGAGGAAAGGTAGAGAATGATCCCCCATTTAAAAGCTGAAGAATTAAGCAGAGCTGAGGAAAAGAGCTAAGGCTCAACTTCTCATCTAAGAGCACCTACAGGGCTTTATAATTACATGTTTTGTCTAAGCGGAATTTTGACACTTGACTTTACAGAAGGTACGAGAGGCAATGCCAGGTTTCTCTATATTCCTGATTTCTGAACCCCATTTTCCTTATACCTCCTGTTTAATTCTTGCATCTTTGTTGATGCTGGTACAAATATCAGCAAGTATTAAGGACTCAGTTAGCCCAACTAAACAAAAGAAGTTAACACACTCACATCTTTCAAGAAGGTTGTGTGCAGATGGCACATTTACTCATATATTATACAAACAAAGGAAAACTGGAGGAAGGAAGGAATCAGTTAAAACACTTTGCTGAAGGAAATTAAGGACTATTTATTTACTGGCTTTTTTGAGACAAGGTCTCCTAATGTAGGCCAGGATGTCTAGAACACTCAATCTTTCTGCTTCAACCTCCGGAATGTTGGGATGACAGATATGCACCACCACACCCTGCTAAAACATCAGTGACAAACATGAAAATACATTCCCTTAAATTAACAAGAATTTAGATAATTGGAATGAAACAACTTTGGAAAATTCTCCTAGAACTGGGGTCGGCAAATTATGATCCACAGGCAAATCCAGCCACTGCCTCTTTTTTTTAAAAGAAAGTTTATTAAGTCGGGTGGATACCTGTAATCCCAGCACTTGCGAGGCTGGGGCAGGTGGATCACAAGTTCAAGACCTTGTCTTAAAAAAGAAGAGAAAAGAAAGTTTATTAGCACACAGCCATACCCACTCACTTCCAAGCAATCTGTGGCTGCATCTGCATTGCAACAGGAGAGCTGAATAATTGTGAAGGAAACCATTTGGACCTCTAGGCCGAAATATTTCCTATGTAGCCCTGAGGCAGCCTAGTAACAGGGAAAGAAAAAACCCTTCATGGGACTCCCCTCCTCAGCAAAAGGACACTCCATGCTGAACTCCCCCTTATCCCTACTGTGAGAAAAATGATCTTTTCTGTCAAAGTATATGTCACCCTCCTAGATTACTTAAAATTCCTCAGGTCGCCATCTTAGGTGACTTGCGTTGTTTAAGGGGTTCCTGTTTCTTCTTTCGTATTCTTTTACAGCTCCATTGCCTGCAAAAATTGCCCCCGCCAAATTACATGCCCTAAGCCATCCCCCAAGCCTTTTAGCTAATTGAGAAAAATTGAGAACCTTTGACCTGGACAAATCCCAGGTAAGGGGCAGGTACAACTGCGTCAGGGATATAAGGAGAGGCCACTGTCGACCATTTTGTGCTCACTTGTCCACTCAGCTGGAGTGAACACATGCTTGCACTCTTCTGATCAAAAGAAATTGCCTTGTCAAGATTTTCTGTGTGTCTCATGTGTCTGTTTTCAGCACCAGAAGGTCTTTAATTCCAACACCACTCAGTACCATCCTGGGACATCCCCTGAGTTGTAAATTCCTTTTCATTTGTAAGTTCCTCTGCAGTTGTACGTTCCCCAAAAGACAAAGGAGTCAGTCTCTTGGCCAGTTCAGACAGAAAAATGGCACATGTCCATAAAGGGAAATCTGTCCTCAATGCAACCTCTCAGGTAAAGCCCTCTACTTAAGACCTTATGAATATTGGTCACATTTCATATATAAAATTAAAAACATGGGACTCAGATTAAGTGCATACACACAATGCCCTATGTTACATAACAAGACTTTGTCAATTAAACCTGTCGATTATCTTGCCTCTTCTGCAAAAACTGCCCTTAAAACTTATAAATTGCCCTTTGAACAGATATCAGGGTCCCTGTGTCATCTGGATAGAGCCCACAGCTCTCCTCTGTGGTGCCCATACTTCCCTCCCCCTTTCAATGAAACTTTGCTACTGCTTTACAATCTGTGTCTCTGTCCAGGGTCTTGTGAGACCACCACCAGTAACAGTCATTTACAGAAAAAGCTTACTTTTGTAGACTTTTTTTTTCCACTACTGAAATTTATTTAAATTTCAAGAATGTAATACTCATCTATTGAAACTTCTTTAACTAATGGAAAAAATGGGAAAATCCAATTTATTTTATGGAAATAGCTGAAATTTGCTTTCCATATCTGAGAATATTACAAGAACAATGTTTTATAGGTCATTTTATTCTTTTTTTTCTTTATTCAAATGTGCATAAATTGTTTGGGTCATTTCTCCCCCCTGCACCTCCTACTCCCAACCCCCCACCCCTGCCCCCTCTGTAGACTCTCTTATTCTCAACAGTAAGTGCCCACCAAAACCTCCTGAGGGTTTCAGTTGTTTATTTAACTATCCAACGCTAATGTTATATTCAGTTGAAATTGTAGTTCAACTTGAAGCAGGATAGATAGATAGATGTGAAGACAGGGAAATTATTTTAATCAATATTTAAAGGGCCAGACAGACATTGGGATAAGGGGAGCCAGAGCAGCTGGCCCCTCCCATCTTTTAGATGCTAAGTTACTGAAACAGGGAGACAAAGAGGAGCTACCTGCTTCTGCTTTCCTCTTTGAGATGTTAAGGAGCTGCAAGGATCCTTGGATGGGTGGAGAAATAATCATGTCTAGGAAAAGGAAGTTCTAAAGCATCCTATTGTCTGCTTTAGGGTGTGATTTGGAAGGTGACCCCTTCCTGTCAGCCATCTCAGCCACCCAAAGACCCATTATCTTTGACCATACGTATTCCCCCAGTTCTCCACTATAAAACTAAGAGCTGGCGAACCACAATCTTGAATCTTTGCTCTCATTTCCTGTGTGGGGAACAGGAAATGTTTCTCTCTCTTTTCCTCTCCCCACCACCCTTGTCTGTACTTTATTCTGTTATACTAAAATAAATCCTTGCTAAAACTTTCACCTTGTGAGACTCCTTGTTGTGAAACACCTTGAAATGCTTTTCAATGTTTGTGGATCTCAAGGACCTGTGATTTTGTGTGGAAACTGGGAAGCTGTGGGAGCCCCCTCATCTATCCTCCAGTGACAGTATTTGGGAGGTGAGCTTGACATTAGTATCCAGTTTCTACTTTCATCTATGTCTGAGGTACACCTTAGTCATTCTCTGAAGCTCAACAATAAGAACAACGGGAAATTCTTGTACTCACAATGTGGAGAGGTAGGCAATTCCTTGCTGTTCGTTCTGGGGGACCAGAAGACAAAAATGAGCCAGCACCCCCATCCCCCATGAGAGCACTGGGAGCCCTACATCCTGTAAAGGGACATGCAGCTTCACAAGTCATGGCCCCCTGGGGACGCCTCATAATGCCACGAGGCAAATGATAACCAGGAGGCTTTTCACAGGACTGTGTATATGTTCCTGCAGAGATCTGTCAAAAGACCACTCCGCCCCTGACTCCTGACTCCCCTCCTCAACAAAAAGGACCAAATTAAAAAAAAAAAACCCTATGTAAACAACAGGGAGCTACCAATTTTCTGGGCTCCCTGTCCATCTCTAGGGGCAGCTTTTCCTCTCTCTAATAAATCCTACTTCTGTGTGCTGTCCTTTTTGTCTCACCCGTCAGTCCGCTGCCTCACTAGCCAATTCTTTGGCCCATGGAGGCAAGAACTCTCAACACCAGCCTACTACATTTCTGGCGACCACACAAAGAGACACCTCTCCTGGACCAAGGTCAGTACGACTGAGTGCCAGGCCAGCAGAGGTTTGCCTAAGGTGCACCCGTGAGCCTCTGGCGCCCTGCTGGATACTCCTGCTGGGGGAAACCCCATGCTGAGGACTAGCCAAAAGCAGCCTTCCCTGTGTGGCTCCCCCTGACTCTCTCTGTTCCTGGTCTTCCTGAGGGACTTTCCCATCATGGTATTGGACCAAGAGCTCCTAGTCAACTTTGGCCTTATGGTGATTCTGGCTCTGGAGGTGCTCTCTGCTCCCTTCCTGTGAGTTGAGACCAAGCACAGGGTTGATTCGGGTATGCCTTTTGCTACACTGGAGGCCTGTTTGGTTTCGGCATCTACTGTTCTTCTTCTTCCCTAACCAGTCGGTACCCTCTTCTGCTGGAGGCAGTGACCTGAGAGTGGAGATTTTGTATGGCTGACAGTGTTCCAGTACCAGTTAGTGGGAGTGACCAGAAGGCACACCTAATTGTCTTGTGTCTCTCAGCTCCATTCCCCCTCCCTCACCTAGGAGTCAGGTTGCCCCTTCTGTCCTTGCAAGACATGGCGAACATTCTTCCCGGACCTTTGGGAACAGATGCTCCCTCAGTCTTCTCACCACCTTGTTTGTCTCTGCCCTCCTTCCCCTCCCTGTGTTTACTGGGACCCTGGCTTCCCATGGGAAACTCATACCATAGTTTCTTATGACTTTTGTGAATTACTCCTGTACTTAGTTTGTCAAGCCCCTTGGTCCACACCAGTTCTGAGCCGGCGCCAGCTGAGACAAGAGCACCGTGCAGAACTTAGCAGGGATGAGGACCAATTAAGGCCTCACGTGCCACACACGCACCCTAACCTCACCCTAACCTCACCCTCCACACGAAGGGAGGGGGGAAGCGCTCATGCTTGCAGGGACACTGGCTCTGCCCACCCGGCTCCCCGGGTGCAGCAGTGCTGCCTGCTGTAGCTAGGGCAATCCATGGAAAGGGCCCAGCTCGCATCCAGTCACGGCCACGGCCGGGTACACACAACAACAAACTGTGACCTGTCGCCACTCCCCTAGAAAGGGATGAGGGGGAAACAAACAAATGCACACTCATATAGAAGGAGGAGGAGGGTTGGGCCACAGGGGCATATACCTGGGTGGATGGGGTCACTCATACTGGGGAGCGGGGGTGCCTCAGGTGTGGTGCATGCCCAGGCCCACACCCAGCCCTGCTTCACACCTGAGCCCAACCTGTTGCAGGAAATGGAGAGGGAAACAAAGTCACCGAAACCATTTTTACAGAAAGCAGGGAGTTTATTATGCTAGTGGACTCG